GTCAGAAGCTCCCAGTGCCTCTTTCTCAGAAGGAAAACCAGGGGATGCTCCCTATAATTTCCCCATGCATTTTCTTTGAGGATATTTTGAAGTTGGGCAACCAAGGTCGCACTACCTTCTCAGAGAAAGCCAGGTGGACTTTTCAGGTGTAAATTTATGGGGCAAAGTCCCTGTGAAAGTCAGGAATCTCTTCCCCTTTCTGTCTGCTTTTTAAGCCCCTCTTCTTATCTCTCTCCCTTCCATAGTGCCTGCCTGATCTGATCTTTTTGGCCTGGGAGTGAATGGGTAGGGCATGGGATAAGTCAGAAAGGTTGCTGGGACCGGGTTGAGATGTGGTTTACCCTGTGAAAAATGACAATTAGAATATCAAGTCCTGGATAATGACCAGGTATATTTTATATGCCTATATCCATACTTCCACATACATTCTGTTTCATGACAAAGCAGTTCCACAAGCAGCAAAGGCAAAACTCTCCACTCTTCTGATTCTTACCCTTTTATTCCTCCCCTTTTCCCCTCTTCATAATGTCCTCCTTCATCCTCAATTATTGCTCACTTGCAATAAAGCTGAGTCTGCACACACCAAGTCCTGAGCCGCCACAGCCAGGAGCAGTTCCCATGAGCACACTGTCTACCCCAGCCCAGTAGAGGCAGAGTTCAGCCCCCAGCAATCTATCTGGTCAGACTGGTGGAGCAGCTTGTGAAGCAATCCTGCTGGACTGAGACGGCTGTAGACAGAGGGCTACAGGGAGTAGAGAGCATGAGAGCCAACCAGACACAAAGATGCAAATAGGCCTAGGAGGGGAGACGGAAGACAACAGGCAGCCAGGCCGGCATCTCATGAGCTAGTTCAACCCTCATGGCAACCCCAGTGGAATAGGCCAAGCCAGCACAAGTGAGCCAAATCCTGAGCTCATTTTAATGGCTTCTGTCCCAAACCTGAGTCACTGGGGATTCCACAGATTTCAAGACAGCCCTTCATGCATTTCCAAAAACAAACTGCTTGATGCTGTCATGGAAAACCTGGATCTTTGCATTCTATGGTTTCACTATGGATTACATCCAGGTCACAACCTAAGGAAGACAGCTGGCAAATCACCCTGCTGGGCGATTACCCAGCTTTTGTAATGAATCCCAGAGGGCTATGAGCCGATGTGTGTTTCTGGCTCTGCCAAGTCCTGGACAAGTCCTCACCAATAAAGACCAATCAGTCTGAGATTTATTCTGCGAGGGAAGCCTGAGAAGCCACCTGCAATCAAGACTCAGCTGCTAGAACCTGCTCCAGAAAGGAAAGGAATGGAGAATGTATAAGTCAAGGGGAAGAGGAGTGAAAGAGGTTCTTTGCTTCCCTCTCAATTCAACTGCTATCTTCTGCTTTTTTAAAAAAAAAATGCTCTGAGGATACCTTAGTCACACCAAAGTCAGAGAACTGCTCTGTACTCTTCAGCCTTAACTCAGGCAGGCTTTTAAGGGGCCAGAGAATAGCACTATACAGTGGTTAATTTCAACAGAGCAAGGTCAATTATAAAGGCTTTTATAAAAGACACCCCTATTCCTTAGAATGCAGCAATTCTAGGAAACATAAAAAATGTACTAAAACCTGCCAAGAAAACAGAAATACTTTAAGTTTTATCACATATACCTACCACTTATTATTTATTATGTGCCAAGACCTGTATTTAAGCCTATCTCATATATTATCTAATTTAATTCTCAAAACATTATACCCATTTTACAGGTGAGAAAACTGAGGCTTAGAGAAGTGAGGTAAATTGGGCAACACATCACAGCCACGTTAAGGTGAGATCAGGACTGATCCAGACTTGAATTTTTAATTGCTATTAAGAGTGAGTATGGAACACTGAGGGCATTTATGCACAAATACTTAGGAAATGTCAGCTGGGTGTCCACATAATGGGCCTTGAAAGTAAATCCTGCTATCAGGGTTAACTTAACCGTGAAGAGTTGTATTTTATTATTATTTTATAAGTAACCCAGATCTTGAGATTTTCACTGAAGTAGCAGGTTCTTTCACACCAGCTTCTAAAGTAAAAATATCAAGATTATTTATGTTATGCATTTTTATAGACAACGAAGGCTATAACACCTGTGGCCTATTCTTTAAAATTAGGTATAATAAAGGAATATTCTTACAAATCTTGTAATTGCTCAACCAATTGCATTTTACAAAATTGCCATTTTTGCCAAAATGAAAGGTGCAAGAACAAACAGTCTGAATGTATTTCCAAAGAGTTATGCTGGCAACAGCCTCCTTTCTCACCATTTGTTTCGGTGTCAAATAGATCCAGGCAGGGCTGAGAGAAAGCAGGCAAGAGGAGAGAAAAGACTGATGCTCACAGCTGCGGCAAGTCCTTGGCTGAGGCTGACCACATGCTGTTACAGACTGGCCAAGAGGAGAGAAAGCAAGTCAGCTGCTTCGACACACTTTCTCAGCCATAGATCCAAGGACCATGGCTGTCATTTATGTTGGCTTGAACTGCCTGGTGTAGACCTCCTTGAGGGGAGAAAGAGCCCACTGAGCATCCCTTACAGATGCCTCTCACCCAACCCCAACACGAGGGAGTCGGCGGACTAGTCCTTCTTTCCTGTGACGACTTCTCAGAGAGATGCTCAACTGGAAGGAGAAAAGCAACAGCTTTCCCTGTATTTCAGTGCTTAGTCTTAGATCAGTGGGCCCTAGAGAGATAGTCTGATTATACAGGAATTTCTGCCTCCTGCCAATTTAAAATTTTTAGTAATTTCAGACTTAAGATCCTGTGTGTATGCAGAGGGAACATAAGTGATGGGGGTTGGGAGAAAGTTAAGATTTCTTTTAGGAAATCTAAACTTTGGAGGAAACCTGTGACCAACAGACTTGCAATGGGGATATGCTGCTACTTTCTTCTCTTCAACCCTTCTTCCCAGAGGCCTGATACAGTCAGAGAGAGAAAGAGGGAGAGAGATAGAGAAGTCAGAAATAGCTCATTGGAGTGTGTGAATAATACTGAAGATATGTACTAATCTTTGTGCCAAAATGAACGTTCTTGCCATTTATGTGAAACAGCCAACAAGAGCACCAAAAAAATTGTTGGACTAGTCCACTTTCTTAGAGACTGAATTCAATGGACTAAACACTCTATTAAAAACTGCATGCAAATAGTCTTTAAGACTGAAGGGTATCTAAAGTTGTTTCTGCATGACTGTAAAAACAGGTGTGGTGGTATAGCCCAAGAAGTCCCAGCCCTTACTCTAAATGGCCACTAATTTGCTAGAAGATACTGTTTCTCAGGATGAAAAGCATTCCTAGGAATGACAAACCCATTTCACCTGCATACCAGCATATTGATAAAGCTCACTGTAAATGCATGGAAAATTGCCTCTCTGGTCAACCAGAACTCTTCAATAGGACTAATAAATTGTGTGCTGGCTTCCCGTCATCTGCATGTTCACACTGATTCCTAAGAGCTTTTGGTAATACTTCTCAACAAAAGTTTGAAGATATACACATGAATATAAACACAAATCCTTGAGGCCCTGTGTGTCTGAAGGGAGTAAAGATAAACTTCAAATTTCAGAAGTGAATAAAAAAGAGGACAAAGTTTCTTCTTCCTCTAACCAAAGCTGAAATCAAAAGTCTAAGGTAAAAAAAAAAAATCTAAGGTAAAGTCATATTTTCCAAACTCCGTATTTTTCAGAAGAGGAATGCCGGGATACAGAGAGGTGGTACATTTATCTCTGGGCCCATTACCCCCTACACACACATACTCCCCCCCTTAAGATTTGAAGAAGGAAAATATTTATCTTATCAGCTGTTTTTTGGGGGGGAAAACCTGTGTTTGATCTATTTACTTGGAAGCCAGCCTGCTGAGCTCAAGAGTTTGCTATCAGGCAGACCAGAGTGAATTAATTTAGGCTGTTTCTTTCCAGGCCTGGACACCAGGCCCAGCGCTTATCCTCACTGTCAAGGAGTTCTGTGCACACACTTTAGAATTTGCTGAGGGATGAGTCATTGTGCCCTTCAGTTAGGGTTGTAGGTGGATTGCTGTTTCTCCTGTTAAGAGTTCAGAACAATAAACAGCTTGGTTATGATTGTTGAAATGTTCATTTCTTTTCTGAAAAAGCAAGAGTCTATCCCTCTGCTTCCTTGAGGATGTCTTCACTCTGCCTCGCATGTGCGCGTGTTTCTGCCATCTAGACCAAGTCCCTTGAGCCCAGACAAACTGACTCCCTCCCTCTTGGCTCAGGATGCACCTTTCAAAGCCACGTGGCAAAGTCCATGAAAGAACTGTTGGCCTTGGAAGTTTCTTGCAGCTCACAGCCTCCCCTCTCAATCACTGTAAGGAGCTCATACTTTTCTCTCCACCAATTTCTAACCAGCTCATCAGTGAAAAATCCCCAGAAAGTGGAAGTTAGTTTATATTTTCTGATCTGCACGGAACATTCTCCAGGCTCCAGGAGACAGACAATTTAAACCAGCACATGAAACTCAGAGCAGCTAGCTGATACCAACTCCTTCCCAGCTTGCTGCTTCCCCTACCAAAGCTGAAATCATGGGGTTGGGCTGACTGATGGCAACCAGCTCCCAGCTCCCCTCCCTGAATGGACACCCCACACTCACATTCCTCCTCAGCATAGAGTGCTTGCTGCAGGTGGGACCTAACTCCTCAGTGGATGCACTATGTAGAAAACATGCTTTTAATTTAATGGGAAAAGCAGAGTCGCAGTAGTTTCTTCAACAAAATCCAACAACTTAGAACCCGAGGAAACAGCAATGAACAGGAGCATGAGAGCAGAGAACAGACACTTCCCCCAAAGACAGAGTAAAACGGGGAAAGGGGAGTGACCAGGACAGCGCGCCCACGGTGCTGAGGACAGACTTTTGCAAAATCAACCTGACCAGACAGAAGAGGGTCTTCAAAACGTGCAGTTAGTAAGCAAGTGTGTGCGCCCTGCACAGAGCCCCTCCCGCTCCCAGGCCCCGTCCCTCCTCACACGCTTACCTGCAATTCCTTGCAACAGCCCACAAACGTTGAAAATACTTTTCTTCATGATGCTCTGCACACACATGGTGAAGACAGACACCAGGGCCACCATGCAGAGGATGAAGATGCCCGCGGCTAAGAAGATGGCAGTGGCCTGCCAGAAGCCGCTGGCGATCTCCCCGAAGTTCTCCGCGTAGGGCCCGCACAGCGTCTCTCGCGGGACATGCTGCACCCCGGGGTTGCGGATGCAGCGGGCGTAGATGCCCAGGGTCGGGTGGTGGGGCTCCGAGAGGCCACCCCGCTCCTCGGGATCCGTGCCGCCGCCGCCGCCGCGGGTCTTGGCTTTCCCAATCAGCCAGTCTGCGCTCATGAAGGCGATGAGCTCTGCAAACGCCACCACAATACTCAGGAGGGTCCAGAGCATCGAGCGACAGGTGACAATGACATGACACATATTGCTGTTCAAGGCGGAAAGAGGCAGGAGTCCACGGAGTTAATAAAAAGCCGGTGGAGAAGGAGGCTCGGGCGGCCTCAGCAGGAAGTCGCTGCTGGGGGGACTCACTCCTACAGCCCAGGGCTCCTTTCTCCGGGATCCTGGCGCCGGTCCTGGGCTGTCATGCTGCCATGTCCGGGCTCTGAGCTCAGCAGCCTCACCTAAGGGAGAAGAGGAGGAGGCGGTCAGCAGCGCCAGGCCCCGCCCCTGCAGCGGCAAACTTGCCGGTCCCCAAACCCCAGTGTGAGCGCTGGCTGCGCCGCCGCCCGACTGCCTGCGCTGCTGACCTTCCCGCAGTCTTCCACTCCCACCCCCTACCCTCCCACCGGCCACCACCAGGTCCCCACAGAACCTGTGGAGCGGGTCCGGCCCCCAGCCAGCACGCGGCCCTTCTCCTGAGTTTGTGGTCTTTGTTTCCTTCCCGAACTCTCCGAACTGACTGGTGGTTCCCCTTATCTCCAGGCAGCGTGACAAAGGCAAGAGGCCCTGCCAGCCCCTCCACCCGCCCCAGGGGCGCCGCTCCATCATCTTTTTAGAAAAAGTCGAACAGCACAGGGATCCAGACAGATCTAGACATACTGGCAGTGAACCATCAACAGGCGGGCTTGCGCTTTTAAAAGTTCACAGGTCTCTTTGCCTGCTGTCTTGGTACTAGAGCAGCTAACTTTGAAAAACTTGCACCAAAAGTTTTTGCTTAACAGCAGAGAGCAGCAACACCTAATTTTATTGCCTGGGAATCAAATTACCAACAGAGACATAAGAGTATTTGCTTCATGGGTAAAAGAGAATAAAAGGAAACAATGCCATAAAAAAAAAATAACACATTGCTACACAAACTGCTTTTTCACCCATTTTCTCAGTCATTTTTAGATAAAATAAACTATACTAATTAAAATGCAAGAAAAAAAGAAACTCAAGAGTTCGTGACTTAGTCACTTTGAGAAATTATTTAAAAATGACTATTGACTAAGTGTCTTTCCCACTGAGTGGATTTGTTGACAACAGAAACTTGCCTGTAAAGAATGAACTGTCCCAATTCATCACATGGGCCTCTGCCTGAGCGTCCACTCACCCCAGGTCTGGAACTCAGCATGCCCATTGTTTCTGATCTCACAAGGACTCATTCTCTTCCCAAGGACAAATGGCTTCATTACCAGAGGGCTTTGCTCTAACAGCTCAGCCCCCCCTTCAGAGGAGCCTGAACCCTGACAGGGGCCATAGTGCTCATTGGTAGCTCCGTTTTCTGCCCCTTCTCCAAGGTCAGGAAGCACTGCACAGCTCACATCTGACATTTGGGTGCATGACTCTGTTCTGAACGATTAGATCTTATTAACCCAGGTCATGTCAACTGCATAAGAACTACAAAGCCCCATGGCATGTTGGCAGCTGGTAGGGCAGGGAGTGAGGGAAGATGGAGGAAGTGGGGAAATAGGACAGCCCAGTGCCGAGTTTCTGCATCATGCCAGCTGATGTCTGGTGAGGGGTGACTACTTATCTCACAAAGCACAAATGCATTTGAAAGTCCTCACCCATTGTAGTTTTGCAACGTACTATTTTAGGAAATTAGCGCAATACTAGAAACATAGGCACTTAATAATTGTAAGTGTGTGTGTAATGAGGCTGTTCTGGGTCGTGTGTTCAACTGCAAGAGTTTCAGAATCCACCAGATCTGGGTTCCCACTCCAGTAGCACCACTGACTGACCATGCTCTGCTTCCTCATCTGCCAGATGGGGACAGTAAGAGTATCCTGCCTCACGAACTTGTGAGGAGTAAACAAGAACCTGTTCAAGCACCTTGCTAAGTGCATGGCATAGTAAGTGCTCAATAAATACCAACTCCTTTCCCTCAGGAGTTTTCCCCTAACGTGGATGACACCGGTCAGACAACAATTTAACTGAAGGAGCTGCTCAATAGATAACAGAAACTTGGCCATTGCACACAGAGAACGATTAAGCACAGGCTATTTAGAGATGAATGAGGTCACTGTGTCTAAGCTTCCCTGGTGGGCTTTCAGGGTGGGGTACTGGTCTGACTTTCTGTTTCCCCACTGCCTACTCCAGCTGCGAAATTCCACTGTGGAAAATCAATTAGCATCAGGCCAGAAGTATAACCTACTCCTACTCACTGATTCTCGAGTCCCCATCCCCAAATATCACCAAATAGAAACGCCTTTGAAGAAAACTTAACAATACAACAGAGCCTTGGAGACTGTTTATAATGAACTGGCCATTCTGGATGAGAACAAGAACACAGGTCCACAACTCCCCAGAGTCCCTTCCACCCTCATGAACACTTGGAGCCAGCAGGTGGGAGCCCAGCCTGTTAGGAGAAAATGAGGCTTCTACAAAGTCTTCCAATTTGGCTAGAAAACCAATTTACTGTTATGCCAGCCGATCTCCATCCCTGCCCCTCTTCTGTTTAATGGCAATTGCTCAGTGAATATAAACCTCTACATATTTGTCCTTTGGGAGAACCTCAGGACTCTGCTACTTCTTAGGTGACATGGATGCTAATTAATATGCCAAGTGTCCACTGTCTTGGCCAACGAGCTCTGCTTAAAGTCAGGAATACAATTAGTTTGCAACTTCTGAAGAAAAAGGATGTGAAACTTCAGAAGGGAAGATGGCACTCACGGGCTTAGCAAAATGGTCCATGCCAAACTTAAGGCAGGATTATTTAGGGACCCGTGTGCTTCGTGTAGGCTAGATAGTTCCCTGTCCTTTTGCGCTAAAACAATCCACTGCACCAAAACCTTATATTCACGCCTGAGTGGCTGGGGTGAGGCCTTTATTCTTCTTTGTTTGTTCTCCCAAGCTAGTTTGCTAATTACTGCTATGAAAGAAAGAGCCAGGATAGCAAGGCTGACAAAAACGGAGCATCCAAGGAAAGTCCTCAGGTTGCAGGAACAAGGGAAAACCTGGAAACAGCACAGCAAGGGCTCCAGAGCGGTCTGTGTTCTGGAACGTGTCCCACTCTGGCTGTGCCCCACATGCAGGGATGCCTGCTGACACAGCATCTGCATCAAAGCGGAAGTAGATCCTTGTTAACCACAGGGATTCGGGCACACAAAGTCTGAGCATGCAATCCACTGCTGCTCAGTGCACTTCCTGCTTCTTCAAAACTCAGTTAGTAAAACCAGGCCCTCACTGACATTCCCTATAAAAGTCTTCTATCCATGGGCTACCCAATTCATTCCCCTCCAGGGCACCTGACTTTACTATCACATCACTGATGGTTACGGGTCATTGGATGCCCTCTGACGTTCAGAAAATGATGCTATGCTTGTCCTAATGATCCACTGAGTAAAGCTCTTGGCAAGTAAGAGAAAAACACCGAACAAATGAGAATTCTGCCAGAAACCTAGAGTAGTGGAGGAGCTGATAAATGGTTGGTCCGTGCGGTCGATTATCCCTGTGTTATCCTCAGAGCCCTGATAGTTACAGAGGGTGAAGGTGCTACGCAGAGCCAGGCCTGCTCTGTCATGCATATCATGGGATCCTATCTCTGGCAGCTTCACTGTCAGTGAGAAGGGAAGAAAGTGCGTGTGAGGAGAGCCCCCAGTGCCACCTGGCTAGGAGGCTCCCTAAAGAAACCAGGAGCCAGGTTCCCTTCCCCTGGAAAGGCAGAGGCACCCTGAATGCACTGCAATCAAAGCTGCACCAGAAACCACACTGTCCACATTGCAGAGCAGCCAGGCCCACGAATGAGCCCACGGCAGACACAGTTCTGAAGAACACTACCTTGCTTGCTCACCTGGGTCTGGTTTTCAAGTTTATTATGAAACTTCGCAACACAGACATAAGCTAAAAAGAACAATGAACACCCAGACTGCTGTTAGCATTTTGCCACGCTTGCTCTGTCACTGTGGTCTACACACTCACCAGCACTCACACACAGACATTTCTGTCACTGTGGTATACACACTCACCAGCACTCACACACAGACATTTGTGGACTGTTTGAAAATGAGTTTCTGAAAATGAGTTTCAGATGTCTTGACACTTCACTTCTAAGTACTTTAGCATACACCTCCTAAAAATAAGGACATTCTCCTACGTAACCACAATAAAATTAACACGCCCAAGAAAACTAACAATAACCCCTTATATTCAAAGCATAGTCCACATTCAAATTTCTCTACCCTGCCCCATTTTAATAGCTGTTTTCTTAAAACCATGACTCAATCAAAGCTCATGCACTACATTTAGTTATGTGTCTTCAGTTCCTTTTAGTCAAAAATAGTCCTTCCAACACTAATCTATCCCTCCCTGCCCATGTTCCCCTGATACTGACCTTTTTGAAGCTACCAGGCCAGCTGTCTTATGGAATACCCAACAGTCTGGATTTGTCTATTTCCTCACACGGCCATTTAAAATTGCTCTCTATCCTGTTTTATAGAAACTGGAGGTTAAATCTAAAGGCTAGTTTAGATTCAGCTTCAATATTTAGGGGAGAAACCTTGGCAGGTGATGCTGTATAATTCCTAGTGTATCATATCTGGGAGGAAAATGACTGGGGCTACACTTCCGAATCAGAATAACTTTACGGATGCATACACATACGTGCGTGTGTATCTTGCCGTCTATCTATCTAGAGAGAACATGCACAGGTCCTCTATGGTCCTAAAGAATCCGAATTGTTGTGAGGAAGTGGTTAGAAGGTGGACTTGGGCAGGATTCTGTTTTGAAGGCTCCTTGGGTAGATTCTGATGCCTCGGCTGAGAAGCCCTGTCCTGAGAGATGCCATCCCAGAAGCTGACAAAGTCTTTTTCCACAGGACTTTCATTCCTAAGATAGGTTTGCTGTGTTTCTTGGAGATGGAACCACATTTTCTATGTAACTTATAAAAACACAGAGAGATCTGCAGATCGAGGGAGGGAGCTACAACTTTCAAGCGGCCGACCTTCTCCGGAGGGCACAGCTTGTCACGATGAGGAAAGATTTGTGTGACCATAAGGAAGGGCCATCCTTCCTCTAACTGCAGAGCCTTCCTTTAAAAGAGGAACAACCTGGGCCTGGCTGGTGTGGCTCAATGGTTGAGTGTCGGCCTTTGAACCAAGAGGTCATGGTTTGATTCCTGGTCAGGGCATATGCCCAGGTTGTGGGCTCAATCCCCAGTGTAGGGTGTGCAGGAGGCAGCCGATAAGTGATTCTTTCTCACCATCGATGTTTCTATTTCTCTCCCTCTCCCTTCCTCTCTGAAATCAAGAAAAATATATTTAAAAATAAATAAATAAATAAATGAAAATAAAAAGGACCAACCTGGGCTGCCAACGCTTCTCTCCTGTCTTGCTCTCTGCCCTCCACTCAGCCATGTGGACGGGGCATTCGGCAGTGGACCCAGCCATGTTGGGAAAGGGCACTGAGCTGTGTGAGGTGGGGTGGCGGTGTTTTAAGAGCTGGGTAAACAGGCCTGGGATAAAATCTCCACTTTGCCACTAAACAGCTGTGTGTCCTTTATATTTAACCTCTGCCAGCTTCAGTTTCCTCATCTGTAAAATAAGGCTAACAGCATCTTCCTCACGAGACTACCATGAGGATTAAGAGAGAAAGTGTATGTAAAATCATCAGCAAGGCTTCCAATTCATTGTGCTCGACATATCTTAACTATTATCAATCATTATCCATGATTAGCTTGAAGTATTTGTGGTTCAGTGAGTACTCAAAAATGTTAACTCCTATTATTTTTTTAATGGAGAATTTTTTTCTTTATTGAGAAACTGAACACTTGGGTACATCAAATAAAACCTATTTCGGGGGGCGGGGAGGGGGAAGGAATCAAAATCCACAATAGGGGGAAAAAAGTTAACACGGTGTGGACCATAGCAGAACCCAGAGACTATATTCTTTAAATTGAAAAATCCTAGGTGTTTCATAATTGACCTTTTGTTACAAAATGACCTATTAGATTTGCAGTTTGTGGTTCTTGGTGTTAAGGTCCATAGGACAAGCTAGGAAGTCTTCAAATCTTGAGCTGAATTCCATGAGGGGTAATTTGGCTTTTGAATCATTTTGTCCCTGCCTAAGAGGTAGTGGCAGCAACAGCGCCCACCTTCTGGGCAGCTTCTTGCTCGGCATGATGAGCCTGTAGAACCGCCACAGCTTCATCCACCCGGAGCGGAGAGACTCGGGGACTCCAGCACGTGCAGCACTCAGAACTGTCGATCTCTAGACGCATTCCCGTAGTCTCTCCAGCCAGGTTCGCATGCACGGTTTGGATGAGTGGAAACAAACGGTCTCCTAGCACCTGCTTCTGTTCCTGGCGGGGGTGCTGCGGCCAGCATGGAGGCGGTCAGGGGCTCCTGCCCTGCACACGGACCGCAGGCTGGGTGCCTGCGGAGGGGGAATGGCCTTGTCTGCAGCCTCTTGGGTCTCAAAGTGAACAAAGGCATAACCCATAGAGCCGTTCTCATCACACCGCACCTGGCAGGGCAGAATGTTTCCAAAAGCAGAAAAGTATCCTCACGTGCCTCGTTATCTACCGACTTATCCAGGTTCTTGATGAAGACGGTTCCCACACCAGGTTTTCTCAGAGGGCCCCCTCTGAGACTACATGGTGCAGACTGGCTTTCCCCTAATTACATCCAAGCTCATAGTCTCCAAGGCCCCCTCAGCCTCAGCCAGCTGCTGGAAACTGACCTAGGCACAGCCCAGGGGCCGGTGATCATATCGCGGCGACCCGCATGGATAGTGCCGCCCGCAGGGCTGAGCCCTTCACACGGCCTGACCTCGGTGACGTCCGCGTGCAGGTCACCCACGCACAGGGAGGCCGTGGGGTAGCTGCTGGCTACCTGCCCCACCGCCCCACTGCCCGGACTTTTTACAGGGACCACACAGGACAAAGGGGTTCTTCCCGGAGCAGGGCCGCGCAGCTGGCTCACAGGTGGCAGGGCTGGCGCAGCTCGGAAGCAGGAGGCACCAGGAGACCACAGGGCCACAGACAAGAGGCTCTCAAAAACATCATGGCCCTCCCTGGGAGTTTGTAACTTTCAGCTGTCCTGGTCTGAAGCTCCAAATTTCCAAAATAAGTTTATTAAATGGGGGCCTTCCCTCCAAATTACAAAAATTCCTAAAGAGCCAACAAAATGGTGCCTATGCAGCCTCTGGGATACAGGTTTCTCTTTAAATAGAGGCCTCGGGCTCCTGGCAGTTAAAGGGTTTAAGGTTACAGCCGCCAAGGAAGAGGGATGCAAAATATCTGTCGGTGTTGGGGGGAGGGGAGGCGGGGAGTGCGTGGACATGGCAGCTCACCACCCACAGGATCCACAGACGGGACCGCCAGGTGCGGTGGGCAGGCCTGAGGCTGCAAAGGTGACTTCCCGGAGGAGGATTCGCTTTTTCTTTAAAATCTTTTTTTTTAAAAAAAGAAAGAAAGAGAGAAAGTGTTTTCAGTTTTGTTTTTAATCTTTTTCTCTCTTTTTCTTCAGGCTACTGAGCCCGAAAAGTGGCAGAGGCTGTGGCGACCCCGGACGGAGAGACAACTCCTCTTATTAATGATAACTTTGCTTCACGGACCCATGTGGTCCAGACCATCAGTACACTTCGAAGAAGGACGTATGCTGCTCCTCCCTCACTGGCAGTTTCTTGGCTGATGCCTGTTCTCATGTCTCCATCTCCTTGGACATCACGTGTCTTCTGGGGGCCTGGATAGGAGAAGTACGTGCTCTCACTTCCCCAGGACGGAGAGCCTCTAGAGTGCCGCTGCTTCCAGTGTGGTCCCGGACCACCCGCCTCCTCCGGGGGCCTAGGCCACCTGCTCAAAACACCAAGTATACTTGGTCCCCCTCCCACACACACTGAATCAAACTTTCTGGAGGTGTTGCCAGAAACTGCATTTTTTACAAGCCCCCAGGAGAGTCCCGGCAGCTACATCTCAGCACCAGGAGGAAGGAAGCCTCAGGAGCCCTGAGGTGGGCCTGCGCTTGGTGCGGGGGAGGGAGAGACTGAAGAGAAGAGGCAGGGAAGTGTGGCCCAGCCCGTCAGGACAGAGCCAACCACCTGTCCTCAGCACAGCTCTCCAGCCACACAAGTCACAGGGACCAGCGATTGTGCAGGGGAACCAGCTGTCCCCCTGGCTCATGTGTTGTCCCATAATCCTCTCAGGGCATGAAGGGGCTGCCCACACATTCAGGACCTCCTCTTTCCGAGCACAAAAGAAGCTTTGGAGCTGTAGGGACAGGGCTGAGACACACGTCTTAGCACATTGCGTGACTTTAGGGAAAAAAAAATACAGCGACCAAAGGAGGTTTTAGAAACTCTCACCAGCCCTGGCCACCCCCTATAATACACGCTATGGAAAAGCACACATTTTGACTATTCAAGAAGAGGGTCCTAATGCACTAATAACTAGTAATTATATTGTTCTCTGAGTTACCAGCTCAACATGCTCAACACTTCCTGTTTATTGCCAACATCCACCCCATGGTCTCGATAGTTCCCTTTCCTCCAGACACTCCTGGGAAAACTCACTCTGTGGTTCTCAACCGGGGGCAGTTTTGCCTCTGCTCCCCTCGAAGGGGGCATCTGGCAAAGCCTGAAGACACTTTGGTTGCCACACCTTGGGGGTAGGAGGGGATGGGGCTACTGGTATCTAGTGGGAGAGGCCGAGGTTGCTACCTACCACCCCGCAGGGCACAGCCCGCCCCCAGGAAAAAGCGGTGTCCGCAGTCAAGTGAGAACCCTGCTCTGGCAGCTTCCAGCCGAGAGCAGTTTTTACATTTGTAGGTGCAACTTAAAACAGGTTTCTAAAACCTTTACATTTTAAAAAGGTATATTCTAAAGAGTCAAGTAACACAGTCTCATCTGGATGGACATTCACAGTATTTCACAGTATTTACTAAATTAAGCAAACCTTCTGTTGTTTTTCTGAAAAATTTTAAGGTCTGTGCCAATCTGTGTGTCCAGGCTGGCAGGCTGGTGGGATGCAGGATCTGACTTGTCAGAGGGGACAGACCTTGACCGGCTTCTGGGTCCCAGCAGCTTCTCCCAATCACAGACCAAAGTCAGCTTTTGTTTCCTATAATCTCTATTCTGCAAAATGGCAAAATCCCCACCCTTACCCCAGTTATTAAGACGGGGAGTGCACTTGCTGTTAACATTCTTCACCTCCATTCCACCTGAAGGTCCTGAACTCAGAAAACACCAAGGTCGGCCACACGGCCTTGATGTCTCTTGAACTCCCATCCCCTCGAGTTGGCCTGGGCCACTCGCACTGTCAGGAGCTTACCACGTAGGCTGCTTGAGTTCAGGCCTTCTGGTGATTCCCTCCCCCCAGCGTGGCTCCCCGCCCCTCCACGCTTCTCTCTCCCTTGCACCCCTCGGCGCTTTCTGCTGCTGTGTGGCTTCTCGGGGCAGAAAGGTCCTAATTCTTCAAACCACCTGAACTAGCCTCTTTTATTTCTCGGCCCGGAGCTCCCAGTGAGCTTCTGCTCATTGTCAAGTTTGTTAAATCACTGGCCCAGGCCAGTCACATTTCCTTCCAGGTGCCCATTCCGACTCCTCCTTATCCAGTCAATCACGCTCTGAGCACCTTTTCTTTTCGAGAGGGGTCATTTTTACATTTCCGTCCTGAGGCATCGGCAGCCAGAGAGCAGGTCCGTCCACCTGTCTGGTCCTGATTTCTAAAAACTAACCTTTCCCTTCTACAAGTGTCATCTAAAAGTCATTAGGAGGCTAGTCTACCTTTATGTGCCCTGCTGCTTCATTAGACCGGAGAGACCGAAAATCCAGCTCTCCAGGTAGGTGCTGAAGTTTGATTTGACTCAGATCCTATAAGCCAGGGGTGATATGCCGATGCCCTGTACGTATTGTGGGGTCAAAAGGTTTTACCGTTTATTTAGATGGAATAAGAACTTGAAGAGTTGCCTTTTAATGCCACTGTTTTATGTACTTTTAAACAAAATGTATTTTTCACATTCATAATGAATTCTGTGATATCAGGCAAAATGTACATCTTAAAGTGAGCCTCATTAGTCTTTTCAGGATTAGTAAGGAAGTACAGAGTTTTAATAGAGAAAAGTATCAAAGAGTGGAAAACAAAGAACTTATACATAAAAATCAAGATACACAATTAATGCCCTCTGTTTAAGTGGCTCCACTCTGAGCATAAACAACCTGGGAAAGATGGGCTTCCAGCCCGTCTAGAGGACAGCTGGGCAGCCTCTCCCAGGGCTGGGAGCACCATGGTTGTTCTCACAGCAACTGCAGGCCTCCCAGGCCCTCTGTGCAGAGGCAGAAATAATAACTGCTTGTTCGTAAGATCAGTGCCACCAGGTTCCCTTCCAACAGCTTAAGAGCCCAAACATGATAAATGGAGAGGATTATGCCACCTGTTATTTGAGTCTCTCTCACAAATCCATAAAACACCCGAAAAACCATGAATCAACTAGAACCAGAGGCCCTTCCGTACTGGAAGCTTCTGGAAAAGCCCTTGTGGAAGACGGGGTTATTATTTCCAATACTCTCCGTGCCTCCTCTTCAGAGGTTACATTTTCCCAGCCCATTGACGTCAGGCCTGACCACGGGCCCTGCTTCAGCCAATCTGCCGCTTCTGAGCAGACGCGTCCGGAGCTGGTGCTTTGCTGTCCAGCTCTCTTCCCTATCCCACGAGATCAGAAAAACCCCAGACAGAGCCCTCTCCTCGGCCGGGGGCCCGACAACACGAAGCAGAGGCACCGCGGACCTGATGCACAGACACGCCGGGTGGGCGAGAAACCAACGCTCTGCGGCCAGTGCTGAGATTTCAGGGTCACAGCACGACCCACCTCTTCTGAGGGCTCGGCTCCCGGCAGAGTCTGAGTGCCTGCCCACCCATCCTGCCTCTCTTTGGTGTCAGGTTAAATTCAACTTCACCATCCCCTACCACGTACATGGCACAGAGCTTTTTGAAATCAAACAGTAATAAACATCATCTCGTGACACACATTACAGCCTGGCAACTATCTCAGAAGCATGTGCCATATTGTTAGTCACTGCTGCAATAAAGGCTTTGCTCTTCTAATATATTTACTTTAGGGTTAATGGATGGAAGCGCTGGGAAGTAAGGAAACCCCCGTTGAGTCAACGAGATCATCAGAAGCCACTGCGAGAGGCAGCTCGAAGAATCACTTCCCATGCCAGGCTGCCCTGAGGCCTCTTACCAAATGGCCGACTCACTTGGAGCTGCCCCTGCTTTCCTCCCTCTGCTTCTGTTTCTTCCATCCCAGGGTGGCCCCAGCCACCTCCTGCAGCCACCGGTTAGGACTGCAAATTGGAAGTCTGCTCCTAATAAGCACAGGAAGATCTGAGCTTTGTCTGAAGGAGAAGCCTCAGTCAAATGGCAGCTCCGGAGACACTTCTAGGACCAGCGGGTACCAGGTGTTGCCACAGAGCAAAGGTGCAGGGCTGCCCGCAGGCCTGTCGCCAACATGGGCCAGGCCAGGACTTCCCAAACAATGGAGACCACGGGGCTAGAGTGAGGGTCTCAACTAGCAGAGGGGCAAGAGATCATGGAGGAGAACGGGAGGATGACAGGCCTCGGTCTCTGGCTACCGAACGGGAGGTAATGGCAGCGGGGACATAGACCAAGCAAAGCAGAGAGCATGAGACGCTGCGCCAATGCCTCCGGCACCAGGCGGAAGCAGGGAGTCGCAGGTTCGCCATCCGCCATGACCCCACTTAAATTTTTTCGCCTAGTCTCCATGAGAATCAGAATATTCCTTCTATAAATAAGGACATTTCAGAGTGGAAGGAGGAGACATACAATAGGGTGAAAACTGGTGGATTTCTGGGAGACCCTCATCAGCTCATGAGTGTGCCTGCCATGTTAAGACTGAAATTTGTTATTTTTCAATTACAATTGACACTTAACATTATTTTATATTGGTTTCAGATGAATAGCATAGTGATTAGACGTTTACATGATTTTATGAAGTGATGCCCCTGATAAGTCTAGTACCCACCTGACACCACGCATAGTTATGACAATATTATTTACTATAGTCCCTGTGCTGTGCTTTACATCCCGGGACTATTTTCTAACTACCAATTTGTACATTTTCGTCCCTTCACTTTTTTCTCTCCCCCCTCCCCCCGCCAACCTCGCCTCCACTTGGCAAACATCAGTCTGTTCTCTGTATCTACGAGTCTGTTTCTGTTTTTGTTTGCTTGTGTTGCTCTTTAGATGCCACAAAACTGAAGTTGTTTTCAGTTAGGTATTGACTCCTTTTGAACCTAGTTCTTTAAAAACAAACAAACACAGCAATAAAGTGTCACTTTACAAACTCAATAATTAGTACAAACTAAAAATGTTAATCTGGAAGTAGCCACATGTACTTTAAAAATGGCAGAAAAGCTTTTCTTTCCCTGCCCCTCCCCTGGCCCTGAACACCAGAACCATTAATGCTACCGACAGAAGGAAACAGGAGTGGTTCATGTGAAAACTGCCCCTCGGTGCCAAGGTTCCAAGCAACCGTTCAGGAGGTGATGTGTACACAGCAGAAACCTCATCCCAGAGTGGCCCAGGGGACAGGCCAGTGAAACTCCAGCCCAAGAACCTCCTGGAGGGCATAGGGCAGGATCAGCCCACAGAGTGGCCTTCGCCCAGGATCCCATTAAAACAAGCACATCACAAAGCTCCCAGCAGCCACAGGTTTGCTTGCAAAGCTTTCAGGGGAGTGAAGCGTTTCTAGTTACTCACTACAGGATATGAACGGGGCCTAATAACCAAAGCAACCCATACCCTTAAAAACCAAGAGCCTAACTGGGTATCTGCCCTGGGATCAAGGCAATGCTAGTCATTGCTCACCACCTTAAAAAACTCCTACCTTCTCACTGAGGTCACTTCTGTTTCTAGCCCGTACTGCTAAGCAGTAGTGGGATTAAGGGTTTTAAAACGATTTAAAGTAAAAGGCCAAAGTCTAGTGTAGACTATGTTCATATTTATAAAAGCATCACTGAAAAGTTCAGTCTCACTGGGTTTCTTGTTGTTGTTTTGTGTTTTGATGCTGGCTTTTACAACCTGCAGGCCTATGGTCTAAACCGGCCTGTGCTGTGTCCACAGTACACACTGCCTGACAGCGAGCTTAGAGAAGGATCTGAAAACAGCCTGAGTATTTACACATCAAACACACATGCAATAAAGAACAAAATGTACAACGTACATGTGTGCAAACATGACTCTTTATAACTTAATTTATGTATAGGAGATTTCCCCTCTCTAGTGCCGTCTCATATTTAAACCCATGAAATACGGTGTGATCAGGACTGCATGCAGACACATACACACACACACATAACTGTTGATTTTTAAACATCTAAAAAATCAGCAAGACAGACTTGTCCACTGAAACTACACTCAGTTCATTAAACACTGTCCATCTCAGTGATTTCATAGCCAGAGATCAAGTTACCTGGTGGTTTTCAACTCTCCCTAACTAGAATGCCAAACTCAAAATGGCAGGCAGGCTTAAACTTTCCTCATCTATTAACTAGAGGAATTCCCCAGATATTTAGGATTCAAACTGTGTTTTGCAAACAGATGCTTATGTGTCATTCCCAGAACAACACGCTCTTCGAGGAAAAGCAAGTTCATTGTACAGTTGCCAGTAGCTTCAGGTACTTGCAGATACGGAACACTGTACAGTTGCCAATAGCTTCAGGTACTTGCAGATACGGGACAATCTGTAAATGCAGACAACAGTCTTGGCCTGCGTCGCTGAACTGGCCTAATGACTCAGGAATGTTCCAGGCAGCAGGAGGAGGTCCAATGAGCCTAGATGAATCAGTGCAGACTCAGAGTTCAAGGCAGTCAGAGAAACCCTGTTCTGGAAATCTGAGCCCTGGTACTTGTTCATAAGCTCCACTATTCTCTTTCTGGAAACAGGGACTCACTGTTAACAGCTTTAACAATAGTGAGGCATAGTAAATAGAGATACAGTTCAACTGGATGTCTCACAGGAAAGAGAGTATGTATCAGAAGACCAAGCCATTAAAAAACGAAAGAGAAATCCCTGGGAAGGCTGGGAGAGAATGGTTTTTGGTTCACTTCCTTAAGAAGAGACAGCCCTAACTCCCTCTTCCCCAGCCCAACTGCCAGGGCTGCTAACCACGGCGGGTGAAGAGGAAGCCTCCCCGTGCCATGCACTCCAGGTGCCACAGTGGGCTCCTGCCACCATCCTCCTGGCATGCGCCAGGCCAGAGTGGATGACTCACTAGAACCCGCATGGCTCGGTAACCGACAGGTGCCAGGCAGAAGAGCCCGGAGGATGAATGAAGGGGAAAACACAGACTGTGTTTTGGTTGGGTGATAAACAGGAGCATGCCCGGAGTGCTGACACCGTTCTCTGAACTACCAGAGTCATTACAGCACACGACTTCCCACAGTCCTGCTCCCCACGGGCTCGGGAGAGAACACCCACAGGGGCAGGGAAAGTCCCCGCATCCCAGTGCCAAGCTCTCCCATGACAATTCTGGGTCCCAGCATGAAATACGGGCCAGGCGATGTTTGGGGGAAGGTCTCACCCCCAGGTTACGGGTGAGCTCAACAGCCACCCTTCTCAAGGCTGCTACCAACCCGCTGCTCCACCCTTGCAGACCAGTGAGCTCATCCAGAAAGGCAGCATCGGGAGTGGTTCAGCCTGGAGCCAGACTGTCTGGATTTGAATCCTGGCTTGAATCCTCGGGCACCTTTGCACCTCAGTTCCCGTTTGTCAAGTGGGGTGCTAATGGTGCCGACCACATAGGCTTGTTGTGAAGATCAATTAAATAAAATAACAAGTTTAGAACAGCGTTTGGCACATGACAAGTATCCCATTCACGTAGCCTACTCTTCTCGGAACAGGCTCCGGCCTCTCGCCCCCCAACCCCACATCAGCACGGCCACCTGAGGTCACACTCCGGCACTGCCATTTAGGACTTCCTGTCCGGGGCCACCTGGCATGTGGGCAATTGGCCTCACCTTCACATACCAATTTCCCCTGGAAAAGGAGTCCTGCGGCAGAAAGCACACAAAATGGAGCCAGACCTACTTCAGTGCCATCACCCTGCCGGACCCTCAACCAGCTCAAGCCTTCGGACAATGAACTTCCCTGAAGTGGGAGTGACCAAAGTATCTACCTCCCAGGGCGCTACAGGATTACAAAACCCATGCATGTAAAGCAAGGTATAAAAGTAAGTACTCGATAGGTGGTGGGAATCAATACTATAATCATCATAGTGGTTAACATTTATGTTTCTGTTCTTGAAGGTCTGTCTATCTCCACACGGCCACACATACAAAATCATCTTCTAATATCATTAACTCACTATAGTCTGAAGTTTGTTAAATGGCAAAGTCATATGTGGGGGGCGGGGAAACACCAGATAGGAAGCAGGGGGGAAATGTGGTTTCTGCTCTCGGCTCTCAACTAACTGGGGTGTGAGCATGTACAGCCCCCTAACTACTCTGGCTTCAGTGTCTCAAGTACAGAGTGAGAGGGGAGGTTCTGGCGATCACCACCGTCACTCTGGGCTCCCAAAGTCAGTCATTTCAAGCACATGACCACCTTCACCACTTTCTCCCAGACCAGCGGCTCCCCTGGAGCAGGTGGCTCTCCAAGACCCACGCCTCTGCTGGATGGGAGACAGGGACCCCCTTAGATTATGACGAATGCCAAGTGCAGGGGTAGAAGGATCTTACCTGACCACAGAGCAAGTAAACCAGGGGCTGGGGCATACCCGTGGGCACTGCACAGGGCCATGGCCAAAGGGCCTGGGCTAGACTGGCTCCTCCTCGCGCCTTTATTCCTGGGGTGGAGAACCCACCTCTAGCCCTTCACTCCCAGTTCCCGAGTGTCTCCAAGTCTTGGAAACACAGCAGAGAAGTTCCACTCCAGTCTTGTAACAGTTGGAAATGAGGCCTCCCCTGTCCTCATCATCCAAGATGGCGCCTGCTCAGAACCCTTCTCAGTTCTGAAAATCCACACTCCTAAACGGGTCTTTCCTTTCTTAGGGTGCTTTTGCTCCCTATTCTGGAGAAGTAAAATGCTTGATCATGAAGAATTTCATATCCATAAGCCAGAGGACATGGTAGGGTGCAGAGTTTCAATCACTCTTTAATAAAGGGTGACAACTGATGAACAAAAGCATCTCAGTGGGAGTTTCTCCAGCGGGAGAAACTGAACACAGAGAACCCATTTTAAGTGCTTTGGTTTCAGGCAGGAGTCAAAAGTCATACCCCTTTTATTTCAAAACATAAACCGTATGAAACTGTCCCATAAAATTAGTATTTGCTGCTGTTATTCTCTGCTCCGTGGTGAATTATGAAAGTGCAATTCTCTCATCAGTTATAAATGGCCCCAGAACACTGAGTTGCATCTATCCAGGGGCACTTATTTCTGATGAGTATTCTTATTAATGACCTAATAAAACGTCTCATTTTGTTATGATCAACCAAATGATTTAAACGATATTTAAAAATTTACACTCCAACCCAATAGCCTGCTGATGAATCTGCTGGGCTGACATTAATTTAAAGTGATTTTCAATTTTACGTGGCATTATCAGCGAGATCATGGATAGACTTTTTTCTAAAACATTTTTTTTTTAATCAAATTTGGTCCTGCCCAGCCGGCATGGCTAAGTGGTTGAGCATGGACCTATGAACCAGGAGGTCATGGTTTAATTCCCAGTCAGGGCACATTCCTGGCTTCTGGGCTTGATCCCCAGTAGAGAGCATGCAGGAGACAGCCAATCAATGTTTTTCATCGTTGATGTTCCTATCTCTCTTTCTGTCTCCCTTCCTTTTTGAAATCAATAAAAATATACTTAAAAAAAATATGGCCCCAATGCTATCAAAGGCAATGTTTTACCAAGGTTCAGTAAAATTGATTTGATTATAATGATAAGCACAGTTAGCAGAGGCCAGCGATGAGAGGTTCTGGCAAGACAAATTATTTGGTGGTCAACCACACATATCCCAAATTAGTAAGCAGGCTGCAGGCACGGACTGTGAGAACAAAGCTATATCAACAGCAAAAATACTCACAAGTAAGTCCAGTTTCACTCCTAACTTCCTGACCTTTGTCCCAAACTGCCCTTTGGTGGAGGTGGCTATTCATAAAAGCAAGGGCTAAACCCCACTGAGCCTTTGTCATGTGGGCAGGAACCAAAATGCAGAGTTGGAAGGCTGGCTATGTGTAGGTGGGAAACCAGTTGTGTGAGAGTGTGTGTGTGTGTGTGTGTGTGTGTGTGTGTGCGCGCGCGCGCGCAGGCGTAGGAACACCTCCCTCCCCGAAAAGAAACCAAGGGCCCAGAGGCTTAAAAGGACAGAAGCAATGGATTTCTGAGATAATGGGTGAAACTGTACCAATTCTGCAAAAATAGCTCTTATTTTTCCCAGGACCCAGAATATGTGATGTCTTGATTTTTCCTTTGTTTTGTCTTGTTAAACTGCACCCTTCTTTGAAAGTAATGCTCATTAAATAGCTGCTACAACTAACGCACTTAAAAAAGAGTCTGACATTGCCAGCTTCCCCAACTGGAGAATTCCTGTGGATATGCATTTGTTGAGCCTTATTGGCCATAGTGAGCAGCAACAGCCAACTTCAGCTGGACTAAGCACTGAGGTTCTAAAGAGGAGAGGCCAGGCAGGTGCCTCTAGGAGCCAACGCCATGTTCAAGATCTGACTGTCCAGGGTGTGTAGAGCAACATGCTGGGGGGTGGGGTGGGGTGGCGAGGGCAGGTGGAGACACAAAGATACTCTTACTTCCTCAAGAAACTGTCACTGAAGTTGGAATCAGGAAGCTCAGATACTGAGGCCACCGAGGAGCATGACTAGCCACAGAAATGGGCATGCTGAGTGGAGGGGGGCAGCATGGGAGGGGAAGAATCTTGAGAAAACTGTAAGGTTTTATCAGGAATATAATAACTGTGAAGTAAATTAACAGTTCGTTCATTCATATCAGAGAGCTGCAGTTGGGATGGGGGTGGGAAGATTGGAGTTTTTCTGCTTCTGTTGGATAACCCCAGGATGGTTGCACAAAAACCCTTCTTACAAGACGGCTAACGGGCTGGATCATGGGATCATGCGGGCATTGCTTGTTTTCTGAGCCAAAGTGAAGTGGCAAATAACACTCAGGGTTGTGTGTGTGTGTGTGTGTGTGTGTGTGTGTGTCTGTAAGTAGAAATGATGTCTGAAAGGGTGAAGGATATTTAATCCAGGCATATCCGCTAGCTAGTTATTATGACGAATTTAAATAGAAGAATGAAAATTAACCTTATGTTCTAACTCCTCGTACCTATTCAAATTTAGTTTTTAAATTACAGGATTATTGTGAACTTTTAAAAATGATTTCAAGGAACTAGGGTGACTTTTAAGTGACTCTGGGTTTCTGGTCCAAATTCTATGAAGAAAAATTCCTCGGCGACACTGCATTTAAGAGACAAACGTGCTCCGTTTGCCATCAAATGCACTCGGTGCGGAGGCCTGGGGACCCTGGCAGGGCTGTTTGCCCTCGGTGACTTCCGTCCTGGAGCACAGTCTCCTCTGGTCCCAAGACTGCGGTGAGTGGCAGCTGTTATCATTTAAAGTGGTAATCTGCATTTGATAGAATAAATATGTATTAATCTGGCTCAGGAAAAAGCGAATGACCACACTCAGGGAAGAGTCTGGGAAATAAAGTGTGATCCCCAAAAGAAATTTACACCTCTTTTTGCAACCTGTCCCTTCCCACTAAATTCTCTCTCAGGTCCTGACCATGTGGGGCCTTCTCAGAGTAGAAGGTGCTCCAACGGCTGTAGCTGAGAAAACAACAAGCATTTCATCGTGTAAGATATTTGATGCTATGAGAACCCTAATTTCCTCAACGGAAAGAAAGCAAAGCTGAAGCGGCCTGGCTGGCAGTGGCCATTCCTCAGAAACCACCCAGCCAAATCCTGAAACCAAGCGGTGGACTGATGTCATTTTGCCTCTAGACAGAGTGAAAGACAGGCCACATTCACATACCACCAACAGGAACTTCTGACGTCCATTCACGAGCCTGGTTCTGAGTTGGCGCTGGGACAGCAAGTGACCATCCTCAAAAGGGTCACTGGCTCATGGGGTGATGGACAGGGCGGTAGGTGGGCACAGCACAGAGCGGCCCTGCCATGGCAACAGTCCTGTCTGGAGTGAGAGAAGGCCGCCAGGAACAGTCCCGAGTGCCTGCCCGGCTCAGATCAGTGTCGCCCCTGAACACACTGAGGAACACATGTCCTCAGAGGGGCTGGATCTGTGTGTCCAATACATAATGATGAGGGGCCCCTACAATATTTTCAGCGTAAAAGTGACAAAGTCAGACTTGCATTTTAGACACAGTCGCCTGTGGGATACCTGCAAGGGTTAGGCGAGTACCAGGAGGGAGTAGACCTCCTGAGTAAGTGTGTCTGCTGCACAAGCACCTTGCACACACAGAGGCGTGCACAGGCTCTGCAGCGAGCTGTTTGAAGGCGGGCAGCTGAGCCCCCGATCCTGGGGACTGCTGCCGGGGGTGTGGAAGGGGCAGGAATGGGGGGAATGCACCTGGAGGGTCAGGAAGGCCAGTCAGGACGACCTTGCAGTGAACCAGGCAAGAAAGGGAAAGGCCCAGACGAACCGCGTGGAGGGGCCGTGGTTAAGAACTGTACAGGGGAGACAACAGGACTCGGCGGCTACAGGCTCCATAGGTCAAGAATGACACAGTCTCGAACAAACACTTGAATATTTCTATTCCCTGGAGTACGAATAGGGGAGACGGGATGTGCTTGGCAAGGTCATGAGTCAAGTCTGGATCAGGCAGCCCTGGAGGGCTCTGTGGTAAGGAACGCCAGGGGTCTGAACGTGATCTCCCAGGGTGAGGCGGAATGAGAAGATAGGAGGACCCACCCTGGGAACGGAGATAACACCAAAGGGACCAAAGAGCAGGCCAAGGGGGAGGAACAGGAGGCGGAGTGTTCTGGAAGGCAAGGCAGAGAGAGAACAGAGGGGTGTCCTTGGAGTCCAGCAGCCAACAGTGCCGTTCACGTCCTGCCATACAAACATTTTATCCTAAAATGCAGTAAGGGGATCGCTGAGCAGGAACTAAAGTGTCTCACTGTGGTCCGAGATACACTTCAAAATGTATTCTGGCTGGGTCCATGATTCACTCCCCGCCCCGCCCTCCCCACCCCCTGCAATTTCATTAAAAGAAAAAAGTCCCAAGGATACTTTATCTGAAGAGTCATTACAATCAACAGGCAGTTAGCACAAGGTCAGGCTGAGGAAGAATGTGAACAATACCGCGCTGGAGATGCTGCTGGGGCGTGAGGAGGGGGCTGGAGGAGAGGAAACAGCTGGACAATGCACAGATGTCTACGTTTTCACTGCCAGGAGTTCAGACAAACAGGAAGACCTTAAACTTCTCCAACTGGGGCGCTCAGTTTGCCCAACTAGCAGAGGGCAGAGCACGTGACTGGACACAAAACAGAAGGTTGTGATTAAGGCTTTGAGAATTCCTCCCCACAGAACCTACATCAGCCTCGTGGGCAAAGAAACTGGAGCAGGCTTACCCTGTGCCCAGACCACGCTCCCTGAGCCCTCGGGCCTCCCCACCGCTGGTCCATGGGGTCTGAGCTCATGGTCTGTGGGGTCATGTGAGCTGCACCCACTCATGGGACCCAAACAGGGCCAAGGCACTACAGTTTCACAATTTAAACATTTCCTGCTGACATCTAGCAGAACTTATGTGCACTGAAGTCTCTGAGTGAGAACCAAAGGAAAAAAATGCCTGGTGCAATTATCCAAACACCACGCCTACTCCAACAGCCACATCACCAGAGCAGTGTAAGAGTGATTAGACATCCTCTGCGCTTCAAAAGCTAGGAATAGCATGAAGTGCCTTCTCCTACTAATCAGGTATATGTTTTCCCTATTCAGCAATGTAAAAATAAATTCTAAAACGATGCAAACGAGGAATAGTTCTTAAAATAACTAAGGTTCCGGAACCTCACCTGAGTGGCACCCTTAACTATTAAACACAAATACCCTGCTACGTCTCTAACAGGGTTTCTCAACCTTGGCACTTTCAATATTCGGGGCCAGATAATTCTTTCTCATGGGTGCTTGTCCTGTACATCGTGTGATATTTAGCAGGACCTGTGGCCTCTTCCCTTTATATGCCAGTAGCATCTCCTAGTTGTGACAATAAAAAATACTTTTAGGTACTAAAAAATGCCCCTAGGGGACAATTCTGCTCTAGAAGGTACCCACTTCTGGTTAAGATACAGGATCTAGACTGAGATGAGGTTCAAGCCCTGGCTATGGCACATACTAGCAGAATGAAGTTGAACAAGTAACTAACCTCCTGATGCCTCAATTCGCCTAGCTGTAAACAGGGATGATACTACCTACTTCACTGGTTGATATGAACATTAAATGAAAAAATTCATGTAAAATGCTTTACACAGAGCCTGGCACATAGTAAGCATTTAGTAAATGGTAGTAATGATAACGGCTAAAGAAGAGAGTTGTTGACCCATGACCTTGGAAGACAGAATCAGGTAGGTCATTCATATGGCCATCTGGTTAAAAACAAACCGCTCACAGAGCTCATGTCTGAACTGCCCATACGAGGG